GCCGACATTTTATGCAAAGTGAATGCCTTGTCCCTTTTTCTGTAATGGCCAGTTTAAAAGACATAGGGGTTTTTCCCTAAATCAAAGTGCTTTCCGGTTTATGTTTTCATTTTATAGAAAAATGCTTTTCACACTGGCAAAAACTGTTCCTGTTTTTACAAGGTACACGCAGTTCTAGTAGATGACACAAAGCATGATTTCTCAAGCAATGGCAAGCAGAAAGAAGACCATGTCAATTGTTATTTTTAGCTTATTTCTCAGAGGTAAGAGTTTATGAATTGAGCTGTTCTGCAGACTTGGACACAAACTTAGTTATTTGAAATTCACGTATGTAGGGAAGTGGTTCTATCAAGAGTAAACTGTGAAAAAAGCTTCTTTGTAACACAGCACAAGACTGCCCTTAATTCACACCCACCAGACTAGACCTGGCTGGTAAGACACTGCCCGGGCTTTTGCTGGAAAAGGGAACAAAATCTGCTTATGTTGTGAATTTCTTCTTTCAAGTAATGCAGTTGTCTTTGAAGCCATATGTAAAGTGGGACTAAGGTATTACAGCCCATTTAAGTTCTACTGCTAACAGTGATGTTCCTTGAAGCTCTAAAGCCTGTAAAACATGAGATCATACCTTACTTTTGCTCTAGCTAAAAGAACTCCATGCCATAATCTAGGGTAAATTAAAAATCAAAACCAAAACACTGATCAGATCAGTACCTATTAACTGGATATTCCTTAACCACAGTATTAAAAAATATTCCTATTCTTGTATAGCTAAAATGAAGCTTTATTAAAAAAAAAACCAAACAATCTTTCTGTAACATTAGTTTAAGAATGGTAACGACACTGCTGAAGACAGTAATCAAAAGAAAAAAAAAAAAGCCAAAACTCCACAGACATGATTTGCCAGCTGGGTGGGTGTAGGTGTGTGGCAGATAGAAATCTGCCCTGGCTTTCAGAGAGTGCAGATGAGGTGCATCTGCCTTGATCCGTGCACAACACCTGGGTGCCAGCCGTGGGGAGTCAGGTGCTGCAGCGCTTGCTGCTGCCGTGTCTCAGATCCTTTCTTGGGATGTAGCCTTAGCATCCGAGGGAGGCTCTTCTGGAGTCAGAGTATCAGATGTGCTTTTGAAAGCAGCTTCTCCGCTGGCAGGCTGCCACCGCAGAGTCCAGCAGCAGGCAGAATTATGAGGTAAAATAGCCCAGTAGCTCTGTACTGATAGACATTAAACCTTCCCCCAAAGGAGAAAGCTACCCTGGTATAGTTAACCATGCGCCGCGGGGAGCTGCCGTTGGGAGTGCTCGCTGCCTGGGATGGCTGCGCTGCGGGCTGAGGCACCCGGAACGCCGTGGCGACGGAATTGCCTCCTGCGTGTCATGTCCGAACGGCCACTCACCTGCAACCACAAAGCTCGTCTTCCCTCGTTAATGCTCGGAGATCGCGGCAGCTTCACTATGGCCTGAAGCGCAATTCCAGCTGGTTTATGAGGCTTTCTATGACATCGGCACTTCAGGGAAAGCGCACAGCAAATGGAAAGCACACAAGCTTACAAACAACTGGGAGACACCTTCTCACTAGGAAAATAATCTCTGTTACAAGACACTGTCCTTAGTAAATAATGCACTTACCTTTAATAAAAAAAAATAAAATCTGTTCAATACTACAGTCTGGTGAGAGATCCAAGGAGATCTCTCTCCACAGTTCTGCTGTATTTTTTTTAATAGGCACAAAACTGATACGTAATGGTTATAAAACCAAAGGCTTCTTTACCTGAATAAAATCACATCTGTTTACTTATCATTAGATTACACTACGCTAGAGTCTTATAAAGCCACTTATAGTGGCTTTCCAGCTAAGTTGCCACTGATTCTTTGACTTAATTTTGTGTAATAAAGGCACTCCAGTATGGAACTGGCATATGCTGCAAAACCATTTACTTCTATTTAGGAGTTAAAAATACATTTGCTTTGTATTTTCTCCGGGAAACATAAGTACAGTCTGCATGGGTACTCTGTGACTGACTTGATATTCTAATAATGGTTCAGAACACAATAACTGCAGCACAACTTTGTAAAATTGATGTTTCTGTAGTGAGACACAGCAGTATTCCCAAACAAAACACACTACAATATATTTTTACAATATTTTTTTGTGGAAAATATTTTCTTGTGGATCAAATAAAATGAAAACTTACCATCTGCTTGCAAGGCTTTTATTTGATAAAAATGCACAGATTTGGACAGGATCTTGTTACCATGAGTTTGGGATAATACCTGTTCACATAAATTTTGGAAGCTACTGAACATGCAAGTCAAAGTTCATTCATTCAGAAGTACACTCTTGCTAAATATGTTTTAAGTCCTTTTCAGTCGGAGAAGGCGTGATCCCAACTCCCTGGGGATTACTGTGTTTTTCATTAAATATAGTTGCTGAAGATTCCTCCTTTTGTACAAAAATAATGGAATGAACTAATTTTTAAAAAAAATTTAAAATAGCCATTAAGAAAAAAACATAAATTTTTTTGAAAAATAAAGGGGAGAGGTTTACAGTTCTCACAGAACTAGCGTGAGTTAGAAATTCAAGTCATATTTTCAGAAGTTACCCTAAAGATACTAATGACACCTGGGGTGTATTAGAAGGGGCGTGGTTAGTAGGTTGAGAGAGGTTCTCCTCCCTCTCTACTCTGCCCTGGTGAGGCCACATCTGGAATATTGTGTCCAGTTCTGGGCCCCTCAGTTCAAGAAGGACAAGGAACTGCTTGAGAGAGTCCAGCGCAGGGCCACAAAGATGATGAATGGAGTGGAGCATCTCCCTTACGAGGAAAGGCTGAGGGAGCTGGGTCTCTTTAGCTTGGAGGAGACTGAGGGGGGACCTCATTAATGTTTATAAATATGTAAAGGGTGACTGTCATGAGGATGGAGCCAGGCTCTTCTCAGTGGCATCCAATGATAGGATGGGGAAAATGGATATAAGCTGGAACATAGGAGGTTCCACTTAAACATGAGGAAGAACTTCCCAGTAAGGGTAACAGAACACTGGAACAGGCTGCCCAGAGAGGTTGTGGAGTCTCCTTCTCTGGAGATGTTCAAAACCCGCCTGGATGCGTTCTTGTGTGATCTGATCTAGGTGGTCCTGTTCTGGCAGGCGGGTTGGGCTAGATGATCCTTTGAGGTCCCTTCCAATCCCTAACATTCTGTGATTCTGTGACATCTCTCAACTGCTCTTGAAAACAAACTCAGGAACTGTCTCATAACAGAGATGTACACGGTAGCAGCATTAACTAGCAGCTGAAATTTTAACAATTTTATCTTAAAGATTCTTGTGACAAAGCAAGGTGCCATCTTTTCTTGATTTTGATCTCCTTTTTGCTCACCTCTAATTCTTTGAAAATCCCTTTAGTAGTTCACCTTGATGTCTGAATTTCCTGGACTTTGTTTCCAGGCAACAGCTTCTAGGAAGGAAGGAGCCTTAAGCCAGTGTAGACCATTACTGTCAGTAATAAAAACTGCCCAATGTTGACAACTCCGTAACAGTTCTGCTGTAGCTCTGACTTTTTGATTCCAGTGCTGATCACTGACTACATTATTTGAAGAAACATTTTCTTCTTTTAGTCTCAGTGGTTCATCTTCAGAGAGGCCAAAATTTGTATTTGTGACCTGCCTATAACAGTAGAAACAAGTAGGAAGCAATACTGATACATGATTTGATTAACTGTAAAAAAGCATGCAGTCTTAATGGTGAAGAATGATTAGTAGCTATGTGTTGCATACATAGTAGAAAAATTAATTTTGCTGCCCAAAAAGATTACACTTTTATCAAGGGGCTCTGGCTATGTCACGTTAACAAGTACTACTAGTATCAGAACCCCGCAACCTTTGGCGCACGTACAACGAGGGGTTTTGATGTATATTTAAATTTTGATCCCAACAAATACATCTGTTAGGCTGTGTTGTGTTAAACAACTGTACGATCCATGTAGCAGCAGATATTTCCTGTTTTCCCCTACTCATTGTCTTGCTCACAACATATTGCTGTGTTCCCCCTACTTTTCACAAATCTTCCAGCCAGCAGACAGGATGTTGGTGGGCACAAGCAAACGGGAACCCAGACTAGTTGGTGTAGATTAGCTCCAGCCACTTGTAGCATTAGGACCAGGCCGACCTCTACCACTAAAATCATTAGCCCATCACTAACATCAACAGGAAACGTGCTGTTTTGTGTTCAGAGGAAGGTCTGAATAAGAGAGTTATTTCTTCCCCACTGTAAGACTAAGAAAAACTAGCAATTTTTGAAATAATGAAAAACTAACTGCACAGTTCAACCAAACTTAATGGCATTTTTAAAAACTTGGTTTTACAAGCAAACGGAAGCGTGCTCTAGGCTCTGGCAATATCATGACATATAAAACAATGTCTACATCACATAGCAAGACCAAATACTGACCAAATGTTAAATCAATAGGACAATTCCTTGCGCTCAGACTAGTAATGCGTTGGTCTGACCTTTTCTTTAAAAGACTACTTAACACCATGGATTTAGCATGTCTTACATTTTCCTTTGTAGCTCTGACTGTTTAAAAGCTTTAAGTATATTTTATTTTCATTTACAGAGAAGAATCTGAGGCACAATCCCAATGTAACAGACCAGTGGCAGAGCCAAGAACACAAGGTCTCCTGACTTCTTGCTTATTAGGTCATCTCTTAGCGATGCTGTCTCCCTCAAAGGTTCCTCCTAAACTAAGAGTTGATGCAAAAAATTAAATGTTAATCATTGTGTAAAGCAGTAAAAATAACAATTTGCCTTGAAGTAATTTTTCCCCTTATTAATCAGAGATATGATTATTTTGCCATTATGGCAGTGTAACAAAAGAGAACGTTCCTGAATGCAAAAAATTAGACTTACAAATCTCAGGCTAGCTAAGAGTCTTGTAAAACTTTATCACACTACTATTAATTTTTATATGACAGAATTAACCAGATGTATAAGATTTCAATAGGCTTGATCTTTACAACTTGAGATCATTCTTTCCCAACGGCTTAAAACAACTGTCCACAAACTCATCGCTGACTTCTTCTAGGGCAGCTGGCTTCCATCTGGGGGACTGGTCTTTGTCAATCAGCACTGTCAGGTGGAGTAGAAAAGCACAAAAGTTACTTGTAAACTTTCTCTAATTAAGATGACTTCAGATTGCATCAAGACAGACAACTACAGTGAATACACGGGGGAGGAAAATCAATATGCTCTGGAGAAAACAGAGTTTTGGTAACATATTCTATTCTAGTAAAAATTCTTGAGTTGTGACCTGTCCAGAGGTGTTATCTGGGAGCTGCCTGATGATACAAGGAACAGTGGATCAACACATATTCCCTTCAGCTGTGTGATACCAGCACCTGATCTGGAGATGCACCTGTGTCCTGGGAGACCTCCTGACCAACACAGCATGGAAGGGAGGGTGGGCAGGAAGCACCTCTCAAGTTCCTCTGCTCAGGACAGAATTTGTTTGTTCGTTTGTTTGTTTTCTGGCAAAGACTTCAGAGTAGGATGGTTCTAAAGGTGTATGGATAGAAGACACTCACAGAGACTAGATATTTTGAAGAGCAACAGCTGTTTTTTGGTAAATTGTCATGTCTTTCTGAACAGGCATCATTCTTGGTGACTAAGATGAGAAATTTGCAAAGGAGTCAGATTATAAATTCAGTGGAAAGAATGCCTCCCTAAAGATTGTGTCTCATCAAAAGACAGGTTTTACGGCAGTTTCTGGTCAAAAATGTGACTTGAAAATTTCTTTTAACTTTTCCCTCCATAACCAACACTTGGAAAATGCCTAGAAAATAAATATAATTCAAATTAAAACAGCACTAATTAATACTTCTGTAGCTGAAGGCATACAGGCATCGCAAATCTAGCTTGCCGCTCCAAAGAGAAAGGAGAATCAGAGGCCTGTATCCATTTACCTGCAAACATGGGACTAAGGACTCCTTGGATGCAAACAAACACTAATTTTGAAAAGAAACCCATTATATAGGTAGAAGATGCAATTCCACAGAGAGCAGATTCCATGTGGAAAATTCTTTAAAAGAAACATGCTGTAGAAGAGTGATTGTAGGAGGTCCTTCAACTAGTTATCATAAGTTATGATCCTACAAATTAATTCTAAACATTGTGATGTGAAGCATTTATTTGTTTGGGTCAAAATAATCCTTGTCTCAAATCAACTACATTTATTCTATCAGAGCAGTACTTATCTAAAATTTTCTTCAACTTTAGCTGAAGTTCACAATCTGGCCAAAATAATCTTAACTGTTATTGACGAATGCAACGCTGACTAGAGATGCTTTAAATTAGAGAGGGAAAAAAAAAATCCATGTGTACACTACTACAGCTACAACTCTGAAATACAGTAGTAATTGCTGATAATTCTCTACTCTATGGGAGTACTGTGCAATGAAGTTAATCCTTCCGTTTGGATCTGTGGACAGTTTTACTCTGGTGCATAAACTGAATGATCGTAATGGTTTCCCCAATGAAATCTTCAATTTTGTATGAGTTAAAAATATTTGTCTTCTAATAGTATGGTGAAAATATTCCCTTTCTGCTTTAACTTTTGTACGTTTTGTGTTTCTCCAGCTTGAGCTATCGATCGCTACAAGAACGAAACAAAAATTCTGAAGACTTCTAAGGCAGGCTAAGGAAAATTGATTATGATAAAAGTAACTGAACACAGACATTGTGTTAAGGGTTTGTTCTTGTGTTTTCTATCTTTTTTTCTTTTTTTTTTTCTTTTAAATAAAAATCCAAGCCCCCTCTGTTCAGTAGCGGTGACTTTCCCAGCCTTCAGCTAGTGTTCCATGCCATAGCTTCATTCAGCACGGTCAAAACACTGATATTGCTGAGCACCTGAAATTCTGTGAGCTGCAAAGAAACCTCTCTGCCCAGTCACTGACCGCAGGGGGTTGGTGCGCCCAGGGTACAGCTCACATCTGCCAGCTGCTGGCACTGCAGGAGGGAGGCAGCAGCCATACAGAAATAAGATCTCTGCAGGATCAGCAATCTGCAGAAGGCCTTTACAATTCCACTTGAAGTGTACATTGCTGCACAAATAGTTAGGAGGCTAATTTAACAGATTTTTGTTCCCTCAGGCTGCTCAGATTATAGTCTAGCTGGATGTGTTTGAGCATTGACTCCAAAAATGACCGTTTTTCTTATGCAGTAAGAATTAAAAAACAAAACTCTTGGAAATTACCCAGGGCTATGCATTTCTTAGTTTATGTATTATTCTATAAATCAAGGTGAAAAATGGATACCTGAAGTGTTCAAAGACCACATTTACTGTTATGTGGGAAAATATTGATGAAATATGATCTGTGTATTTAAGCTTTAAGGGTTTTGGCTTTTCTTTAGTAGTGCCAATCACAAGAATCATAAATAGGGAAGGCTCTTTGCCAGCAGCTTTTCAGTCTGGTTGAAAGAAAACTGGCTAAAAGAAAAATGAAATTTTGATTGCAGGTCAAAGAAGGTTTAAAAAGCTTTTAAACAGACTACTTCCTTAGCATGTCTATTAAAATTATGGTTTGAACTGATAAAAGCTGTTATTAAAACCTGACCAATGGCCATTGCTGCTGAAAAACAATCTTCAAAAACTAAAACTTGATTATTATATCTTTACTTTGTAGTAGATGCTTTCATGGTAGACAGGGTCAACAGCTGACTATTAAATGCTTGGAATGTAATGTCTTAATAAAGAAAAAGTTGATTCTTTAGTTAAAATTTTTGTAATTTTCATTTTTACTCACTATGAGTGATCCTGTGAAGTACTTAATAATCTTACTTCCTGTTAAAATGGATGCTCAGTACATTATTGGATAATGATTTTTATGAGATCAGACCCAACTACAAAAATGATCTTGAGTCAGATTCTGTACCACTCTTAAACAAGAGGAACAACTTTGAGACAAATCTGAGAACAAGATATCTGCAGTAAGCAGAGAGCAAATGTGCTTCAAAAACAAATTATTATTATTATTAGCAATCCCCTCAGTGCACCTGGATCTGTGGGGTGGCAGGTTTTTTTTTTCTTCCCCTGATACAGTTAAGCCTTTGCTACATCACCCTATGCAAAAGAGAAGCTTCCCAACTGCTGTTCCTGCAGCTTTTTTCTTGACAAGCAGTTTGTGGAATTTACTGGCCATACTGCCAAGTGATGTGCTTTTGTCCTCTACCCCATCCCATACAGTTTAATGACCTTGTGCATTACAAGTGAGAATTTGGTTTGGTGCTCTTCTGACTCTGACTTCGGAGTTTGTCACTTCCCGAATAACTACATTTCAGCAGTTTATATGGTGATTCACAACATATTCTAGGAATATTCTTTTTAAGATATCTGTGTCCCCATTACCAACATAATGGAAACCATGTACTTCTCAACGTGTGTGTTAAACTCTTCAGTGGAGTCTCTGCTAATAAGTGCTAAAGATTAATTAATTAAAATCTGAAACTTTTTCCATGCTGTACAAACAAACTTTGCATCTCTCACCCCAGGCTGTCTTTAATATAGTATTACTAATAGTGAACACTCAAACTAATATCCACGACTCAAGTGGATTTTAAACTACAAAAAATGAGGAGGAGGTGATAATACTCAAGTACATAACTGTGTGAATTAAAAGCCAGGTTCCTTCAACCCCAAAGTGTTACTCATCCAAATGTCTTGTGCTGTAAGATCCTTGGAAAAGGAAATGCCTCTGCTTGGTTTCATCTTGTGCTGAATAGTACATAAATAATTGCTACGGTTTCTAACAGATGTGACATTGGGTTTGACCAACTGCATAGTGAATCAGCAGTAGAATCAAGGGCAAAATCTAAGTCTGTCCCCGAGATGAACTTGCTGAGCTGCTGCTCTACTTTTACCGCTACCTATTGTGACCAGTGCCTTAAAATGCTGAATTATTTAGCATTAAGCTTACATATATAGTTTTTTAACAGTAAGACACCCCTATACAGAGATATTTTGGACATGGGTGAAAGCAGTCTCTGTTCTAACAATTTTCTACGCACATAGTTGTTCTTGACTTCGAATCTTAAAGCTTCTTACAGCTGGCTAAACCAGGTACGTGGCAACACCCAGTCTGGACACACAAATGATACGCATGGCTACTCACTACTGTCAGCATTAAATATATTCTGAACTTTCCCAATGGACTGGTGAAACCTTTCCATGGTGCTGTGTTACCAGGTGGATTAAGAACATTAGGAAGCTGAGACTACACCAAGGAAACAACGTGGCTGTTAACAGTTTTGAACAAATAATAAATTTTGGCCAACAGGCAAAAACTGTAGCAAGCAGGGAAGTCTCCTCTGGGCTGTTGCTGCATGTACTTTCCTTAACCTCCAGAGAAGCAATGCAACAGTGAGTTTGCGTATTATTAAGTTGGAGAAACATTTCTGGTGTGTGTGCTTACCTGCCCGAACCCCTTCATAGAAGTCATGGCCTCTCTGAAAGACAAAAAAAAACCCATGCTGTAACATGACAGATTTTATTTATCCCATCTTTC